CCTTGAGAGAGTCTTTAAACCTCTTTTGTTGACCACCAGCATTCCGGTTTCAAGTTTGGAATAGAGTAGTTGCTTTGGAAGATGATAATCAGGCATCCCCACAACATGACCAGTCCAAGAAAGTTGATGTTAAAGAACCATTGCTTTGACAGTGGTGATCTTTGCTTCTTCCAGTACACTGGGTGATTGAGCGAGTGAGGACTAAACAACCGGATAGCAACATACATTTGTAATCTCAAGGCTTAGGGCTCCAATAGTGAAGATTCAAAGCCAAATACATATCGGGAACAGTTGCCTTCAAGTGCAACCCACTACAGGTTCATTTCCACTGTGGGTTAACCACTACCTTATATGACTTGTAGTTCTACAAAAACTTTTCTTCAATACCTGATTCTACAAACGTTTTTATCAAGTTTTCCTCACTGGCCACATCTTCCTTGCTTGCTTTCTCAATCCCCCGCTGGGGAATCATAACAAGATTTGTTACGGTGATGTTTTTCAGCTAATCTATAAACACACCATTATTGCTGTTATCCGACATAGCACAGAAGGTGAACTCTCTTCAGATGCAACACCTACCACCTAAGTTTTCAAAGTCCCCTGTAATTTTGGTTTATTTGTAAAAGCTGTTGGGCATTCATGCTATGGTTAAAGTTGTGTACATAGCTGCCATGTTAAGTTCCAAATGCTACACTGCCCATCTTCTGGAGCATGTTTTTTGACAAATGCGTTCGTCTTTAATGTTTGACATCTCTGAATAAATGACATGACTGGACCCCTCACATAATATGATGCTGTCGCAAGAGGCAATGTGCTCTGCCAGTTGGAGTGTCAGACATTCCTTTCTGGGATCATTGCCTAGTTACTGTACCGCTTTTCAGACTCAGATTCTCACCTGCCAAAGAATAATGAAAGCTATAATCCTATGCCCACTTTCCTGGGCATAAAGCCCATAGAATTTAATAGAACTTACTTTTGAGCAGGCTCACATAGGATTACATTTTCAGGCTGCAAGACTGTGTACATTGACATGGGAGCATGATCCACAGAACATGCACAGGGGTAGGTGGCAAGTGCTGCTGTGATGTAGCATAGGACGGTGTCACAGGGGCAGTTGCCCCGGGCGCAAAATTGTTAGGGGAGCAAAATTTCAACACCTGGTGCTGCCTCAATACAGCTGCACGCTTCCATCGCTGGGCTCCATTGAAAATGGCTTCTCCATGCGAAACAGAAAGTGACCTCTCCAGACAACGGAATGGCTCTTCTTTTAGGAAGTTGAATGAGCATGCGTACTCCGCCTGTTTCCCTCTCTCCCACCCACACCTCCACGCAGCCCTGGACGCTGGCAGCCCCTGCTACGCCACTGCTGCAGTGATTATTGTTATGTGTGACCCAATGACTGAGTATTGAGAGTGCCTAGGAGTCCCAGGGCATACTCATGTTTGGTTTCCTTAGAATGAAAGTCAGTGGAGACTGTGGTGTCTATGGGATGCATGGTTTTATTTATACACACATACATACGGGCTAAGCATAAGACTGAAAGACGCACATAATTGATACATGAACAGATTTTGCTCCCCTCCATGGGGTTTCCAGGGGCCACCACAAAGCTATAGCTTTGGATTCAGCGCAGAGAGCAAGTCAAGCCTCTGTGTCTCTTCCCAGCCTAATCCAAGCCCAGAGTGCCTCCAAGCCTATTATTCTCTTACACGAAGAGTGAAGAACCTGTGATCTCCAGCTGCTGCTTGACTCCAACTCCCATCAGCCCCTGGCAGCATAGTTAAGAGTCGGGGTGATGGGAGTTGTAGTCCAGCAACACTTGAAGGGCCACAGGTTCCTCGGCCCTGTCTTACACTTACCAGTGATGTCATCTTCAGTAAGGGGAGAGCAGAAGGCCAACTTAGCTTGGAAAGTATTTCCAGATACAGTGGTACCTCAGGTTAAGTACTTAATTCGTTCCGGAGGTCCGTACTTAACCTGAAACTGTTCTTAACCTGAAGCACCACTTTAGCTAATGGGGCCTCCTGCTGCTGCTGCGCCGCCGGAGCACGATTTCTGTTCTTATCCTGAAGCAAAGTTCTTAACCTGAAGCACTATTTCTGGGTTAGCAGAGTTTGTAACCTGAAGCGTATGTAACCTGAAGCGTATGTAACCCGAGGTACCACTGTAGTAGTTTCTCTGGCAACCAGTAACCTGGACTCTTTAGTCATGCAAATAGATACTTAACAGGCTTGGCTATAGCACTAACTCAGCAAAGATAATGGTCTGACTACTTCAGCCATCTCTTTTCCTGCAGAAAGTCGTCTTATAGATATAAAAACTAGAGGCTTGGAGCCTCCCACCCCAAAGATGCCACCTAGGCAATTCTACAGCATATTATACATATGCAGCTTAAAATTATATATATTATATAGATGCAGCTTAAAAACATGCTTACATAAGCATTCAGCAGTATTAATATGCTTCAAAATTACATTTGCTTACACAAAAGATTAATCCAGCGTTGAAGCCTATTCAAAACAAAGTAAAGAGCTCCTGAATAACCAGAGGCAATTTCTGTACTATTTCACATTGATATAAGCTAGGAGGGAAGACAGTACCAGCTGGTGGGGATGGGACAAACTCATAATTTACAGAAAGCCCACAGTGAGCCAATGGTCTGAGAAAGTGGATATACAAGCAAGGCTCAGGGCCAGACAATGTGGTAAGGTGGGAGGTCCTCAACATAAGAATGTAAGAAGGGCCTGCTGGATCAGGCTAACGGCCCGTCTAGTCCAGCACCCTGTTCAGACGTTGGCCAACCATATGCCTATGGGAAACACCCAAGCAGCACCCAAGCACAAGAGCCCTCTCTCCTCCTGAGGTTCCCAGCAACTTGTAGGCAGAAGCATTACTGCCTCCAAACATGGAGTAGAATTCCTGACTATTAGTTTTAGAGGAGATGCAAGTATGTGTATGTGTCCACATTTGATCCAATCAGTGGTACTGAATTGCCCTGATCTAAACAGATGGTTGTCGGGACGCGGGTGGCACTGTGGTCTAAACCACAGAGCCTAGGGCATGCCGATCAGAAGGTCAGTGCTTCGAATCCCCGTGACAGGGTGAGCTCCCGTTGCTTGGTCCCTGCTCCTGCCAACCTAGCAGTTCGAAAGCACGCCAAAAAAGTGCAAGTAGATAAATAGGTACCGCTCCAGTGGGAAGGTAAACGGCGTTTCCGTGCACTGCTCTGGTTTTGCCAGAAGCGGCTTAGTCATGCTGGCCACATGACCCGGAAGCTGTCTGTGGACAAACATTGGCTCCCTCTGCCAGTAAAACGAGATGAGCGCCGCAACCCCAGAGTCGTTCGCGACTGGACTTAACTGTCAGGGGTCCTTTACCTTTTCCTTTACCTTTTAAACAGGTGGTTTGGACTTAACTGTCAGGGTCTGTCAGGACTCAGAGCTTGCACTTGAGCTGTCAGAGGAGGGTATTTACGTTTGGGTGTAGATGTGGCCATACTGCTGTTCCAAACGTCCAGCTTGGAGCACCACCAGCTACCGAGCCATGGAAGCTTGCACGCACATGTTTAGCGCACCTCGGGAGCTACTGTAAGTTTGTGCTTTGTCAGTAAAGAAATAAACTACCCGCTCGTTTGTCCTCCTTGGTCTGGGTGTGTTCGAGACACTAACATGCGTGAGATTACCTACCTGTTGGTAGCTGGTACAAATCTCAGAATGCCTCATTGCATACGTAATATCTAAGAAGTCTTGCTGGATAATACTAACCTTGGCAATACAGGTTCACCTCACTGCTCCTGAGCCTGCTTGGCAATGTCTCCTTCTGTCACTGGGCTTCCTTTGGAAAGAAATGCAGGTTTAATTTACAGATCCAGGGCTCGATCCACCAGGAAGTTCTCCTACTCGAGCTCCACTCAGCTGAATGGGATTTGTGGAAGAGCATAAGTGCTCTCTCATGCAAGTCCCATTCATTTTAGTAGGGCTTGCCCAAGAGAACTTCCATGTGGGGCTTGCCAAGGAGAACTTGAGAATCCTTCACATTTTTCAGACAGCTAATTGCTCTCCTTGTAAAGTACGTGCCCTGAATTTCTTCTCTAAAACCACATAGCTACCAGTCTCAGCCATGGGGTTATGTGGTCCTTTTGTTCAATGGGTTAAATTCTCACCCTGTTATCAAGGCAGTGGGAAACGACATAGTTCAATGCACAGCACTTATCCTACTTTGTGGCATCTGCCTGCATTTCTGGCATGGCTGAGTTTGAACAGGCTTCTCAATTTGTTTATCTGTTCCCAGTGGGCTCAAGCTCCCCCCCCACCCGTACCCCACTGTAAATATTCACAGTGCAGGGAAGGATAACTGTTCCATTCTCCCACATATTTATAAATTTGAAAGGACAAGGAAAAGTAAGGGACTGACTTGAGCAAATTGCAAATAGGTTTTCGGCACAAGAGCAAAGGATTTAAGCAAGAGACACGAAAATAGACTAATTCCAAGGGATTTAATAAGAGCATTTCATTACCGAATAGGAGATGATGGAATCTTTGATCTTTTCCTCTTGCTAGCTTTGACCTGCCGATTTCACACTTCAGCAGTTTCCCCCTCCTCCTAGAGAGATGATGGGATTTCCACATTTATTGCCTCGGACCTCAGTTGCACAGAGGGAAACATCTCATGAGGTGCATGATGAAGTCATGAAATACCTGCTCCAAGTTAGAAGCTGGAATGTTGCATCACAGCCCTTTGCCAACCTGGTGCCCTCTAGGTGGTTTGGACTGCAACAGTCCCCCCCCAGCCCCCCATCTGGGCATGGTGTACATAAGACAATTTAAAACAACGTATAATTGAAATTGGGGAGGGAAAATTAAGAATGGCTATGGACAACTTGCTAACATGCCTGAGTAGGCTTGCCAAAACAAAGGTACTGCGCTGAGCAGTTTGGAGAGGGATACCAATGGGACAAGTACATGATATATAGCTTCGAAAGCTATATACCACCTGGGAAAGCTGGGGCAGCTCAGTCAGTAGATCATGAGGGTTTTAATCTCAGGGTTGTGGGTTCAAGCCCCACATTGGGCAAGAGATTTCTGCATTGCAAGGGTTGGACTGGGTGGCTGGCCCTCGTGATCCCTTCCAACTCTATGATGCCGCTGGCTTGATCTGATGTGGAAATTGTTGTGATCTATTTTTCATTGATTTTATTATTGTTGTGTGTCTATGTTACGGATGCTGCTGTTTTTAATGACACGGTATTGTTCATTCCATCACTGACTTAGAGGTGTTGATTATATATTATATGCTGGAAGCTGTCTTGTGAGGATTTCAGCTTAAAAGGCAGAGAGAGAGAGAGAGAGAGAGAGAGAGAGAGAGAGAGAGGAGGAGGAGGAGGAGGAGAAAGAGGAGAAGAAGAGGAAGAAGAGGAGGAAGAAGAGGAGGAAGAAGAGAAGGAAGAAGAGAAGGAAGAAGAGAAGGAAGAAGAAGAGGAAGAAGAGGAAGAAGAAGAGGAAGAAGAGGAAGAAGAGTAGTTTGGATTTGATATCCCACTTTATCACTACCCGAAGGAATCTCAAAGCGGCTAACATTCTCCTTTCCCTTCCTCCCCCACAACAAACACTCTGTGAGGTGAGTGAGGCTGAGAGACTTCAGAGAAGTGTGATTGGCCCAAGGTCACCCAGCAGCTGCATGTGGAGGAGCGGAGACGCGAACCTGGTTCCCCAGATTACGAGACTACTGCTTAACCACTACACTGAGAGAGTCCCAGAACCAGCAGAAAAGTACAATTCAGTCCCAAGTGTCAGGCTTCAGTGAATTCCTATCTTCCCTCCTCCCCTCATGGCAGACAGCCAAGGAAGTAGACAAGGAAGCTCTTACCGAGTCTTTATTCAGTATTCACAGTGAGAGGCTCACATATACTGCCTCTTAGATTAATGGCGTTACTCCAACTGAGTTCCTCCCCACTCTCTTCCTAGCAACAGCACTTCCCCTTACGCTGGCCGCCAAGGGCTAATTGTCTCTGAGTCCTTTGCTCTTCCACTTTCAATGCACGCCGGGTTCTGGGAGAAGCGGGGTCGGGAATGCTTTACAGTGATAACGTGTCAGCTGGCTGCTCTAGCTCTGTCTCCCCCTTCTCCTCTCCCAACACCTCCCAACTCTTCTGTTCACCTGTCTCTGAGCTGTGACCTTCCTCAAACCACTGCTGTAATTCAATACTGGCCTCCTCTTCTCTGGAAGGGAGAAGAGGAGGGGAGGCGACTTCCACCATTCTTCCTCAGTCCCGTCCCCCTCAGTCCAGTCCCTGACACTAAGGATCCAGTGCAGGGTTACACACACACACACACACACAGAGGTTTTGGGACGAATGCTTCCCTCTTACCCCTGCTGTGGCCTAGCTTAGCAACAGTGCTTCTGTGTGTGCTGGTCCCATGGGTTACCCGAGAAGCGAGGTCCAAGTCCGGTCCGTGGTCAAAGGTGCAGCATGGAGGCAGTCCGTAGTAGCTGAAGCTGGGTGCAGGGCAGGGAGTCAGGTGAAGTCAGGAACAGGCATGCAAGCAGGGAGCCAGGGCAGGTCAGGAGCTCAGGCAGGAAAGCAGGACAGGGTTCAGGCAGGAACTAGCAACCAACAATGTTGCTCCCGCAACTTGGGACTGGGGCTGGCCGGCTTTTATCTGCCCCTAGGCATAGGGTGGCCCCGATCCTCTGGTGACTCGCCTCTCCTGGCCTTGAGGTGAGCACTCCTCCTGCAGGAACTTAGTTCCTTCCGCCTCTCTGCCCTGAGCCTCTGCAGCTCAGGAGAGGCTGGAGGGTTACCGGACCCAGAGGCAACCTCAGCTTCCTCTGACGGGGCTGAGAGTGGAGCACCTGCAGGCAATGGGTCCTCCATCACCTCAGGAGCCAGAGCAGACTCAGCTGATGCCTGCACCTGAGGATCCAGCACAGGTGAGGACCCTTCAGGCTCATGCCTCAGCCCCGGCTCAGCTGGTTCCGGAGGCAGGGAATCCTGTGCAGGCTGGGATCCCTCAGGTTCAGCATCCGAGTCCGAATCCCAGGCCATCACACTGTGTTTGTCTATGAAGAGAAACCTGGAGAGAAAAGACCCCAAAACAGCAGTGCAGTGCAGTATCCTATGACATCTCTGGTGCCTTTGTTGAGCCTTTGTTTCCAAATGCAGCAGGAATAAAGACGCCACTTTAACCACCGCACTGCACAAGATTAGATGTGGTCCAGCCCAAGCTCAGCATCCCTCGGTTTCAACGCAGAAGAATGGGGCACATGCTTCACTCTCTTTCCATTGAAAACCAGTGAAAGTGCTTAACTATGGCTGGGATGTGCCTATTATTGTTTGCACAATGGCTGCTAAAACAGATTTCTAGGTCTGGACTGGCTGAGTGTCAGAAAGCATCTCCACCTCAGCCAGATAAACGATCAAGTATTAAAAGGTCAAAATGTTACTTTCTTAATTTTAAAATATCTGCAGTATATTAAAAAAAAAAAAAATAGTATAGGGTATTAAAGTAAAAGCTTCCCCCCTGCCATTTCCTCATTATTATGTAAAGTACTGCTGGCTCAGTGTGCATATTTTGGGTGTGTGTGAGTCTTTGATTCACTGCTCAGCATCTCCCGTGGAGAAAGAAGAAGGCCCGGCTCCTGGTTGCATGCACTTCTCCAAGATTTGTCAGAAGAGATAGATGCACTTGCTTCTATTACACGAAAAGGCAGAGAGATAAAAGCACACGGATCCTCGAGCAGACGCTCTTCTTTAAATAGACCCAAATGTCTCTCCAAAGACAAACCTAATCCAGACAGACATTATCAGCTGGGTGCAAAGGTGGCTGCCTCCCTGCAGTGTTATTGGTCGGTCGGGTTATTTCTTATATAGCAGGGATGTCAAACCAGTAGATCCCTGGCTGATCCTGGTAGATCGCGCGATCCTTATCAGGTACAAAAAGTTAAGGGGGGAAAGCTAAAAAACTCTGTGCAATACTTTCCAAAAAAGCTCAACAACTCTGGGCAATCCACCCACCCCATGCACACTCCTCCTGTTAGGATTATGATGTTCCGTTCCACCTTAAAACAGATGTATGGCATAGCTGTCAACTTTTCCCTTTTCTTGCGAGGAATCCTATTTGGAATAAGGGAATTTCCCTTTAAAAAAGGGAAACATTGACAGCAATGATGTGTGGATTGTTGTATGTCACATGTCTGTTTACTTCCAGCACAGCCTGCTGGGAACTTCCATTGTGTATAGCATTTGCTTATGCTGTTTTGCTTGGACACGAAGGGGAGCAGACATGTTTTTCCTTTGTCCTGTTGCTGAATAAAATGCTTATAAATACGCTTTACACAGCCTCTGTCTGCCACTCCTGTTGCAAAGAGTTCTTATCTCTGCTGGCTTGCGTGCTCAGTCTCTAAAGGTCTGGCTGCCGGCTGGTGGGCTGGAGCCAGCTGGGAGCCTGCCAATTGCCCCCCTCTCACTGGACGCATTCCAACACCTCCTCCCTCCAATGACAATGGGTAGATCACTGCCAGTTTTTTTATACTGAGAGTAGATCACAGTCTCTTGGGAGTTGGACATGCCTGTTATATAGCAATTGGTGGGGTTCAGGTTAATGTGCACCCCCTGGGCTTCTGGAGATGGTTACTTTGGGGAAGTGGACCACTAGCTTTGATTGCTCTAACTTCAGATAAGCGGTGGATTTAAAAAACAAGACAAAACACCCACACACAGAGGAAAGATCAGTCAGTGGTGACATGAGCATAGGAAGCGTCCTATACAGTGGTACCTCGGGTTAAGAACTTAATTAGTTCTGGAGGTCCGTTCTTAACCTGAAACTGTTCTTAACCTGAGGTACCACTTTAGCTAATGGGGCCTCCCGCTGCCGCCGTGCAATTTCTGTTCTCATCCTGAAGCAAAGTTCTTAATCTGAGGTACTATTTCTGGGTTAACGGAGTCTGTAACCTGAAGTGTCTGTAACCTGAAGCGTCTGTAACCCGAGGTACCACTGTACTGAGTCTGATCAATGGTTCACCTAGTTCAGTATTGTTGTCACTGACCAGCAGTTACTCTCCAAGGTTTCAGGCAGGAACCTGGGGCTTTTGGAAGGCAATGCATGTACCCCACCACAGCCAAGATGGTCTTAATGCCCCTTCAAACATTTCTTCCTATGCCATTGCAATCATGTTTAGAAGCTAGAAATTACATGGGTTGGCTCAACTGTGTGGGTCTTTCATCCCACCCAATCATCGCTCTCCCTCGCATCTCAGCAATGGTCAGCTGACAAGCTAGCTCTGCCCACATGGTTCTGTGTTGCCTCTGTGGTCACATCTGGTGTTCCAGAACCACATGGGAAGAGGAGAGCCAGTTACTCAGGTCCTTCTTAAGCAAGAGTTACTGGGTCAGGAAGGGAGCCAGTTCTCTGAATCAGTAATAGGAGACTCATGCTGCACATCAACAGATGGTACACATCTTGAGAAAATGGGCACAGAGATTACTAAATAAGTATAGCTGGATGATGCAGTTTTAAGATGCAGTTCCCTGCTGGACTAGACAGACGCATTATCTGCCTCAATACAAAACAAATCAATGCTTCCATCACCAAACCTAAACAACTTTCACTAGCGTGGGGGTTTGCCAATGAATCATTCCCACTTTACCCCTTTCTCTGCCGCTGTGTCTGATTTGGAGTTGCAGCATTCGCTCTTCCTGTGTAATTTGCTCATCCGCACCTTACAGAATTCACAGCAACAGATGACAAAGACCAGCACCTACAGTATCACACTGCTGCATTGAGTCTCAGCTGCTGAATTCTCCCTTGCAGTGAGCGACTCAATTAGTGCTCTCTCTTTACAGCGTGTTATTAATGGTGGCCTGACTCCAGCCCTGACACATCATGGGAACTGGTAGTTTCCATTCACAAAACTAAAATCCCCAGCACCTTTCATAAACTACGGTTCCCAGGACTCTTTGGAGGACGTAATGTGTTTTGAATGCACTTTAAATATATGGTGTAGGTTTGCCTAGAGTGGTTGGTAAAGTAAAGGTAAAGGGACCCCTGACTATTAGGTCCATTTGTGGACGATTC